AAATTGTACAAGTATGCTACTCGCTTTGTGGTCACAACACTTCTAACTTGTAAAAACTTGCACATTTGATACTAATATCAATATGTTGCACGCACATGTGAAGTAGCAATGCTTGTCCAGATTTGTGCCAGAGCTTTGCAAGGATGGCGCAGACTTGTACCAATTGTACTTGTGCAGACTTGTTTAATTCATCAATTGTAAAATACAAATGTCAGAGTCAAATACTGTTCATTTGATTTTGGAATTTTGAAAAGAAAAGTGTTAAGCAAATATTTTTAAAAATATGAATAGGTAGTTAGGTACATACAAGTTAAAGTGAATCAATATCATCTTGTTTGGGAGTGCCGGAGAAAAGTAAGTAAATTATTTTTTATAACTTTTTGTAGTTTCTCTGATTGCATAGATATGCCTGTAGCGTTATTTCGTACTTAATTAATTATGATACACAAACAAGGCTACATACAAAAAACTTAAATTTATTATGTACATGAGATATGGCACGATTATACAAGTCGAGCACAGAGGTGAGAACACGAACGTCCAGAGTGAGGTCCGAACCCTAAAAGTGAGGTCATAGGTCAGGTTGCCAGGTCTGTTCAGTTCAGAGTTTCTCCTGGTCGGCATTGTGGCGACAGCTCAAATTATGATCGGCATTGTGGTGACAACTCAAATTATGATTGGCATTGTGGTGACAACTCAAATTATGATTGGCATTGTGGCAACAGTAAAGCTGTCGCCACAATGCCAATCATAATTTGAGGTAATAGTAGTTCAATATTCAAGTCAACCACAATTGCACGAGTATTCCTTAAAAGATTTTTCCAAAGTTTTAGCAATCGGTATTATATCTATTTTTAAAAACAAGAATCTGTGGTACATGATTCCTCTCTATATACATACAAAAGATATCTAACGATTAAATGAAAATAAGATTTTACTCCGAGAATCAATTTTGAATGTCTTATCATATTTAAAAAGCTTAATTTTTGCCCACAAATAACTGATACTAAACATGGCCGAATCTAAAAAGAAATGTAGACAGTACAGTGTTAATTATTTGAAATTTGGCTTCATTCCATCATTGTTGGACAAATGATTGCCTATGTGCATTTTATGCAACAAAGTTTTGAGCAATGCCGCTATGAAACCATCCAAGCCAGAGGATCATCTGATAAAACAGGCAAAGATTTGAAAAACTTTCAAATATTTAAAGAAAAATTTCACAAGAGTCCCACATTGGATAGTATGTTCACTTCAACGTCACAAACAAACGATGATGGTTTGCTGGCATCTTACAATATCTGCAAATGACCCATTTCTCTATACAACTGGATAAGTCAACTTTACCTGGTAATGAAGCATTATTATTGGCATATGTTCATTTTGTTATGGACCAAGAAATCCATGAAGAACTACTCTTTGAGAGAACTTTGACAACAGACACAAAAGGCAAATCAATATGTAATGCTTTGAGAGATTATTTCATGGAAAAAACTATTCCTTTATCAAATATAATATAGCAGATGGAACACCAGCCATGTTTGGGCACTATCATGGATTTATAAGCTAATTAAAACAAAATGTACTCGGAAGTTAAGGTGATTACAATTATAATTTCTTTAATGTTATTTAAAATNTACAAATATATTTATTTACTTCTCTATAAAAATAATTAAACTTATTTTATACGCATAAGAAAGTTCCTAAATGAAGCAAGTTATTATCTCTTGCAAATACTTTTGAAGATTTACATTATTTATTATATAAAGTTTGTGAGAATTGTTTTCTTTTCTCGATCAAATTTTAATTTATAAAAGCGTTTGCTCTAAGCTCCTGCGTAATGCAAAAGTGCATGCGAATACAGAAAACTGAATATATTTTTTTTTAGGAAATATCTCCAAATTTCTTCTCTAAATTTGCATTTCAAAACTAAATAAATTAATCCTCGTACTTTATTATGCAAACCATTGACATAACTTTTTATTTTGAAACCTACTTTGTTAAAGCCTTTAATTATGTGTCTAAATGAAAAATACTTTATTTGAAATTATAAAAGGAATTCCGTGGCTCGTTTACTGAACGTATATAGCATGGAATCTACACCGTGACTTTGAAACTGCGGACCCAATATGGCGGCTTCATAGGGAACATTGGTGTCCCGACCTTGTGTTTATAGACCTTGCTTTATCGCATTGGGCATTAGTGACCAATCGGTTCGGTTCCCCGAACATCGGATGTCCGGTCCTGGGTTGGCCACCTGGAGTTTTCTGGGTTTTCTCTACGTCTGTAACGCCTTAATAGAAGCTACTTACCCTTAAAAGACCTCTCGGAAGTCCTCATTCCCCGCGTAACGACCATCATAAATGCATACAACTACTATTACGTGACAATTACGTCACACTACCACGGGGCGATATAATCTAGAAGCTCATACCCAACTAGCCGATACAAGACAAGACAATCGCTGCATTATTTATAATTAATAATTGTTTTAATTGTTAACTTTTCTCGATAGGTCTACAATATACGTTTTTACTTTCTCTGTTTGTTATACATAACACAGGGACAATATGGCAATCGGTCAAAAATGACCCCCTAAGATTTTTGCATTTTTTGCACTCATGAAACCTCGATACGTCGAGAAATGAAAAATTCGGGGTTTTTCCTCTATGTACGTATATTAGTATATGTGGTATATGTGTGTATATGTGTATGGAAGCACGATTTTGTTCACCCTCTTTAAACCTTAATAAGTACTGTGCTTTTTTCGAAAATTTCTGAAATTTTGCATGAATGTTTGCATATTAGGAAAATTGATGCCATTAAATGTTGGTGATAAAAAATCAACGAGACGGGGAGAAAAAACGGGTCTTGTGTATTTTCAGTACGGTCGGAATTAATGACGATTTTNGTGCAGATGCGTTGCCAGTTACGCTATCCGGACCTCCAATCCGATTTCCTCTTCCAGCGTATAGAAGCTAACTATATAACCATCGACGGTTATTACAACGCCGGCTGGGGACACATTCAGTGCCCACGTTACCTCCAGAGCCAAATTGGTTATGTAATTTATTTAGTAATTAGCCTTAAACTAGCCCGATAGATTTTCGGCATTCTGTTGATGTGTAGCTGTATTGTATATCGGGTTTAGAGATGTTTGTAAATGTTCGAACCGTTTTAAATTCGAATTTCTTATCGCGTATTGGTTCGATTATAGAACGATTGTAAACGTTCCAGAAAATTGGTCAAATTGAAAATAGTTCGTTTGATTCTCGGCAATTCTCGTCATTCTCGGCGGTAGGCGTTATATAACAATTACTATGGTTGTTGAAATACTGAATATAAATGGCGTTTTCTCGCAAAATCCGCGCGGCCGAAGTAACGAATAAAATCGTCATTACAGTAAATCCGACACTACTGAGATACACACGATCCCCTTTATTTTCCCACCCCTTCGACCTTTATCGCCAAAATTTGATATCACCAATTCCCCCTAATACACAAACCACCCTGCAAAATTTCGACGAAAGAAAAATGCCTTAGGGGACACAACAACAACACTGGGCAGATGTGGGTCTTAACTTAAAACAGGTTAGTTAACTATTGTATAAATATATCCAAATAATTATTGTTGTAATTTACCGGAAAAACAAATGTAATAATTACATTTACCAATATATAGAAATGTAAAAAACCTGAAGAGGGATGCAAGTGATACGAAAATATTGCACCCGAAATGCATAATAAGTAAGAAAATAAAGAATACGAAGATAAGCTTTTGTCTCTGATTAAAAGCGGTCCAGGCAAAAACCGGTGGTTATTTCTGTAGAATTAACCAATGAACTTTCCTCAATTTTTTGATGAAATATTTTTGAATAATTGATTTTAAAAAGAATAAAAAGAAAAGTTGTTAAGTGTCAAAGAGAGTGGACAAATTCGTGCTATACACATACACTAGCATCATATATACCAAAAAAACCTGAATGTTTTTTTAATTTCTCGACGTATCAAGGCCCCCTGAGTGCAAAAATGTAAATATCTTGGAAATAATTTTTTAACCGATCGCCATACTTTTCCTCTGTTATATATAACAGTTGGAAAGTAAAATTTTCTTAGAACTTTGGCAATCTCAAAGACTAAGATCAAATGATTAAAATCTTAAATTTACATAAATTATCTCCTTTAATTAATTGAAGAAAGCCACCCGGAAACAAATAGTTCCGAGACTTGTTTTTCATTTAGGCAAGTTTCTTTTGACTAGAAACTCTGTTTGACTAGATAAGTTTCACTGTTAAACTACGGTACATAATAATGATTTACGTCGTATAATAAATCTGCGTGGTTTGCGCTGTTGGCAAGAACATAAACGTTCTATTTCCAACGTTTTCTCTTCTAGAGATTTCAAGTTCTTCGGTTTATCGTCCTCGATTTAGTGCCAATTTCACACACAAATAAATGATAGCACCAAATCATGGCATGGCTGTATATATATGTTCAGTTTCAAAGAGCTTTCTGATTTGAATTTTCACTTTCCGAATCTTATCAGAAATCTAAATCCACCTTCAAAGAAGTCAAAAAGACAAATTGTAATACAGTAAAAGAGAACTGCACGACTTCTCTAATTTATACTTTAATCTTATCTTCTTATAAATCATTCAATTTAATTATCATCACGTGTCTTACTTTGCATAAGTAATAAAATAATTGTGGAAATTAATATTTGACTTCCGAGTAGTTTTTTCAGAAGTCATAAGAGACCGTTGTCACTTTCCTTTCTCGGTGGTTAAGTGGTTCAAAAATTATATTATAATTTATAAATAAACATCAGATAAAAAATAAAGATTATTTTTTCCCTTAATACAAAGTGAATGACTAACTTGAAACAAATATTTGTGAAATGTGAGCCCCTGACGAAACTACCCTGCTGGCCCCTTTCAATACCAAATAAAAATTAGTTTAACTTGCAGTGAAATTTAAATATTTATGTTTTATCTTTAATCTTACCAGCGTATCGTAGTTCCCAGCGTTAACAAAACTTTCAGCGCGATCCTCCTGTGTAAATTACACTCTTCGACAGCAGCCGCTATTATTAAACTTCCCAAAAACATCATAATAATGTCCTAGGAAATATTTGGAAGATCCATTAAAGTCTGTTTAAGTATAACGAATAAGAATTGTTCTCTTAAAGCTCACTTTGTAATAAAATGGAGTTATTTCCATGGTAGGCATTATCCCCAAAATCGGAAACAACACAATGGGAAATAACGACGTCACGGCTGCGGGAATCGGTTCGAAAACGTAGTAACAAGCCATCCATAGGATGACAAATGCGCATTTTGTTTCCTACGTACAAAATAAAAACGAATGATTAAGTATTTAATTAACATTAATAATTGCGATAGCCGTAATAAAATGGAATTACCTGAGAGTCGTAAAGAAGTAAAATCGGAGTTAAAGCGAAAGGTACGAAAACGGCAAACAAGACTTTCCACGTATGTTTCAAGAAACACATTTCTCCACGTGTCACGAATTTGTCGACTTTTTCTAAGTAAATAAATTATCTTGTTTACGTCATAACATTGAGAAACTCAGATAAAAGCGTGTCATAAATTCAATTTTATTGTTATTTCTCAACACATTATAATAAAAAAATAATTTTTTGCACTAGTATAATTCAATCCAAATTATAATTTAAAAAACCATATTGAAAACGCTGGGCTGGGAATATTGAAAATTTTGATATTTATCCTGAGAATTGTCTTACCGACAATTCTCAGGATAAATATCAAAATTTAAGAAAAGTTAAGACGAAACTACTGGCGGTTAGTGTTTAAATCCGATCTTTATTACTCTATTTATCGCATGGTTGTTAGCGACATAAACACACAATTCATACAATAATTCGTCATACAACAATTTTCCAAAGTCGACTATTTATCATGTAATCTAAATAGTCCGACCAGGTGTCATTCGACTACCGCTTGAACGGGTAAAGATCGTTGTGTTTGTGCAGTATTTTCAAGCATATAACGGCACACTCTTATACGTATAACATTATTTACCATCAACACAGTCAAAGTTTTTAACTACAATAACTGTTTAATGAGATAATCAACGATCGCCTGAAAGATCGGGCTAGAATTTGGCTAATTAAATGATTATTATAAAGTAATCTGTCGCTAGGGGATACATTAGGCGCCATATCTTAACTAAATTAATAATTATAATTTTAATAAATCAATATATATTATAAAGATAAGTGTACAATGTGCGTGCCGCTAAAACTGAAAAACCAGTCCCGGTACGATCAAGAGAGTTATATGGTGTGGTATCCCTCTATCCCTCATCCACGAAGAAGGTTCCCGTTTTTACCCGAACGGCGTGCTGTTGAAGATATAAGGGCTGGAAGTTTCGCCCTTTAGCATTCCAGAATGTTCCGGAATGTTCTGGAACGTTGGGGAACATCCCGGAACATCCCAGATCATTGTGGAACATTCCAGAACACTCTCGAATGTTGTGGAATGTTTTGGAACATCGTGAACCATTCGAAGACTTTTTTGTATGGGTGGGACTACCCGTTGGTGGGGGTATATAAAACAAAATCCGTCGTGGGTTCGAACGTCAGTTTCTTATCAGTGACGAAGGGAAGAACCGAAAAAGAAGTGAAAATTCCATTATTAGAAACGTTTAGAACGTTCGAAATTTTCGACAAACACTTCCAGTTATCTCCAATTCAACACCAGCAGACGAGATCAATGCATGCTTTAATTTAATCCCAGAATAGGCTACCACTGATCTATACTGAACTGCCATTCCAATTTAAAAGACTGCAATTTCCAATCAAATTAGCCTATAGTTTTAAATTAAATAAGCGCAAAGACACACTTTAAAACATTGCGGCATCAACCTCAAAAACTCCCGCTTCTCTCACGGTCAACTATACGTAGCTTGCTCTCGAGTATGAAATTCGAAAAATTTGTACATATATATCCCGGTTAACAAAATGAAAAATGTTGTTTATAAACAAGTGTGAGGACCCAAACGGGGTCCGAAAGGAGGCCATTAACGACTTTTTGAATGAGTCAAGTTTCGTAGCGCGAAAGAGAGAACTTAAAGATCGGATTTAAACAATGAACCTTTTGTCTTATTAAAAGATTTTAGACAATAGTTAGAGTAAAGTCGAGGAAAACGAGGTGGGAGAAGAGTCGTGTTCCGACGCGACGTTGACCTCTCACGTACCCTTCGGTGGGGTTTCGAATTGTCACCAGGTGACAAGGAGAGACCAATGGAAAGGCGGCTGAGGTTGTGGAATCTATAAAACGTTCTTGGTTCATAGTCTTACCCTCCTGGGGCCTTAGTCTCGAGTTTTTCGTGTTACAACTCCCAACGTGTTGAAGGTGTCACGTGGTACCATCTCACAAACTGACGTCAAATTGGTAGTCTCGAGTTCCAACTCACGTGCTTTCCCATCTCACCGTGCGAGTTGCTACTCACGTTGAGTCGAGCATGTGAGATCGCTACACGAAAGTAAAAATGGCTGACGGATACGCAATTCTTATCGCTATCGAAGAGTTAGAAAGAGCCGGAAGACGTTGTTTGAGAAGACAACGAATTTTTCGACCACAGTAGATGACATTTCTTTTCGCATCAAGTCAATACTAATAAAAAAATTTTAATTCATAATCGATAAAATTATACAGCAAATTTTTCAAAAATAAAAAGTATCTGATTCATCGAAAAAGAGTATTAAAATGATAGTAAATTATATGTATAGATTATTAAAAGCATAGACACTACATTAAGATTATTTATTAATCAGAAGTGCTAAGTTCTGATTAATAAATAATCATAATTAGGCTTACCAGACGTCCCGTTTTGACCGGGATTGTCCCAGTTTGACTATGTTGTCCCAGCGTCCCGGCCAGTTTGTCATTTTGTCCCGGTTATTTGATAAAATTTTAAAGTGCCGAATATACAAGAAGTAAAAATAGTGCAGCCTCGAGTAAAATGGCGATTTGGCACTTACCCCTCTGTTACACTCACTGTTGTCAATCTAAATATTTCGTATCTAGATCGTACTTTTAATGTTGTCTATATGTTTTCCTCAAAAATTTATAGCATATGGCCTAATGAATTTAGATGTTTTATTTTGTCATTCAGATATTTTTTCACAGAATTTATAATAGCACGTAGTCAATGACATCTAGATATTTTTATTTCATTTTTTTTTTAGATATTTTGTTTCAATTAGAGTTGGCAAGACTGAAACTTACACTGGCCACGTCATTGCTGTGCATGTCATCTCTTAGTCGAGTTCAAATTGCTGATCGGCATTTGCAATTATTTCGTACAGTATCTGCGCATTCTTTTATTCAGCGTTTGCAGCCCTTTTAGCGCATGTGTTCAATTATTAAGCCTACTGTCAGCGCGCTTAAGGTGCTCTTTCAGCGCACTAGCAGCACCTCTCGATTACGCTAAAAATAGTGCTTACAAGATGGAAGCATCCATGAGAAAGTATCTTTTTCGACTACCAAATAATAATCAGTTTTTTGCTCTTTTAAATAAGCAGATTTTTAATCGTGACATACGAAAATGGCTTTTAAAGATTTCATTCGAATACTGTGGTACGATATTGTGAACGTAACCAACGATTTTTGCACGCTTTCTTCGTTGTTGGGAATCAGTCATAGCCAATGCCATAAATAAATCATCATTTCCTTGTTTTCTTATAAATAACATCGAACTTAATGGCCTTTCTTCTAATATGCGCGTAAATATAGAAGAAAGAAAAACATTGTTTATATCAGCCATTTTGAGATAGCTCTTTCTCCGGCAAAAGTGTTTTCAACCGTCAACAGTGAAAACGTCATTTCCGGCAGCAACTGCTCAGCGCACTGCTGAACGAAAGAATGCGCGGTATATTAAATTCATTTAATCTCTAAAATGCCAAAAAGAAACCATGTGTTTATTGATGATTGAAAAAAAAGTTCTATGATCGTATTGACAAAGTGAAATATGATCTGTGCTTTTCATAATTTTCAGTAACTCATGGTGAGCATCAAACATTTAAAATCATTTGAAATGTGTGAAACCTAAGGCAAGCAATAGGAACTTCCTCAAATGTATTGCCATATTTTAAATGTACCGATTTAAACGACAAAGAATTTTTAAAATAAATATTAATAATAAGATATGTTTAGTTCAGTTATTAAAAATTGCTTTTAACTCGTTGTTTTTGTTAACAAACTACTTTATTTAGCCTTTTCAATCATAGATACTTATCCTAGTAAGCTAATTTTCTGTTGCGAGTATTTTCTCAAAATTGTCCCGGTTTGAGAAGAAAATATTATGGTAAGCCTACACAATGATAGCAAATGTTTTTCATCCGGGTGCCTTGAAATGGTACAAACAGACACGGGCTCATAATAGTGGTCTGCCAAGAGCATCCCAAGCCTGGGCACAGTGTACATGAACTCTCTCTCGACAACCAGTCCAACACCATTTGGAGAAATGACCATCTGGCTTCTCTCCTCGATGATCCTTTCTTTCTCAAACTTGGTTAGATATTCATATGATCTTCTATTGCAACAAAAAGGCATCTCTAGTGATACAACATCCCTCTGCAACAGGTAAACTACAGACTGGATGCCTTTGCACTTTTTTAAAGGCCAAGGAGGATGCACTTTAATGCCCTCTGCTGGCAATATGCAATGAGCTATCCTGCTATAACTCTAATCATTTCCATATCTGTTTGAGACATGTCTGCATGCTAAGTTTATCAGCAATACAACAACTTCTTCCTGGTGAACTAATTTTTATGGCAATGAGTGGATCCTTTGAGTGTGTGCATTATGTTGTCTTAGTTTTTGATTTTCTTGGGTGGCTCATTTGAGTTTGCAAGCTGCTAGTGAAAGTTTTTCCCATCTAATAGTTGTGTTATATAAATGGAAAATTTGGTTATACTTAAAAGTCCAAAAAACAAACTGTCAAAAAGTTTGAATAAATGTAAGAAATTAAATGTTACCAGCAAATGCTTTATGTAAAACTCCTTTTTTCAGCATTAAAGACATCCATGCACTTCAGCGTAACTTCAGGCCGCTCACCCTTGCAAACTTTCTGGAGGTTTTCCCATCATATTGGCTTTTCTAATAAAGAGGCATTACTTTTAAAATCAAAGTTGTTAAAATCCATTTGTGATATACTGTAGATTTCACGGGTACATCCCTTTTCACGATGCTAGTGTGAGTTAGCAGGGGGCCACTGGGATGATCCCTAATGACCACTTAATCTGCATGGGTTGGCGAAACCCGCTCTCAGTTTGTCAGATGGCTTAGGAGGGCAAATCGAGTAGGGAGAGGTTGTGAGGTCGTGACGAGGTATCCAAATAACTACACAGGTGGGAAAATAACAACACATTTACTAAACAACTAAGAGATTATACATATCAAAGGAAAAAGCATAAATAACACATGCGTAAATAATAAAAGGAATCTATTCTAAATCTATGCTCTAACCTAATACCAAAGACCGAGAGACCTCTCTAAGAGGGACGCGAGGGAGAGAGGGACAAAGTTCAGGCAAGGGTATACCTCGTAGGATTCAATCTCTTCGTATAGGGCGTTGGTAGGACACACTGGGATTGACGGTTCAGTTTCTAATCGAAGTTCCCTTGGATGGCGGTATGGAACTAATGTCCCTGGATGTCCACTCGGCTATGTCCGTAGAGGGTGTATGCTCCGTTAATCTCTGAGTTTAGAGGTGTTCGTCGGCTGTCCTCTTCGGCTGTCTACCCGGAGGTGCAAATTTGACCCCTTTTTATGCTTATCTTGGAGGGGGAATCATGGGGAAAGACATATGATGCAATCGCCAGCTCAACTTGCATACAGCTGTGTTTACATTATCGTCATCCTTTTCTTCCAATAGTTGACATTTTTCCATCATAAAATTGTCAAACTTCCTGATTTATCGACGTCAGGTGACTTATGTCTGACTACGTCTCACCCCTTTAGAAAAATCATTGCCTTATTTGGGCATTTAGATCGACTTTCTCACCAGCTCACTCAGACTTAGAAGGGAGTATGGGATATCGTTTTAGCCTCGTCAGTGACCTTTTGGTTACTCTCTATACCTTATATCTACGTGAGACTTGAACGATCCCTTGGTGAGAGGGGAGTCCTTCTTCAGACAATTAAGGTCACCTTCGATGTGATGCAGTACACAAAGTGCGAAAATTCACATTTGCATCAAATTCTCACATTAGTCAAGGCTGTTGACTTTTTGAGATGTGTAGTTGTGAAGCTGGTCATGTGGCCAGATGCCTCGTCTCAGTAAAATATGGCTTTGTGAAGCTTGCCAGGATATGGCAATGTATTAAGTACATCTAATACTTTCTTTATGTGCCATTCTGTATTGATGATAAACTTTTTTCGGAACTCCAATAGGAAGAAGAGTCCCACTGCCCATTGTTTTCCCTATTATCACAAAGCCTTCCGACTAACTTTTGATGTATTGGACTGACCAGTTGTCGGGAACATTTTTGACTTGTTTAGTATACATTATCTTTCTCTCCTCATTGCAGTAGTGTAAGTAGAAGTAAATCTCATCTGTAGTGATCACAAATCTATCCTCTCAAGAGTTTTTGTGTATTTCTGTCGTAATTTTCAGTGTTCAGGAGTTAGCCTATGCTCTATTGCTTTTTTCTTGGTAACTAAGTCTGTAGGGAGAGCAAATAAAAGTATCCACACTCACTACTGACAATATACATGCTTTTGCAGTAGCTTGGAGTTAGGTCCCTTAACTAACTTCCATACTTTCTGATCTGTATATTTTGCTTAGTTCTTGAAGTTTTTGGCTTAGCACACAATACAGATTTCTAATATGCTAACTCTGTCAACTACTTTTCCCAACATTTTGACAATTCTGCAAATTCTAATTCCTTTTTACTACACTCTATGTAAAATTCTTCTTGGAAAGGATTCTGGTCCTTATTTCTGATTTGATTTGGTGCCACCTGATTTGAGGTGATGCTGTTTTGCTTTTTTGAGAAGCGTGTCCACAAAATTATGAAATAAGTGGAATTACCAAATGCCAAAAAAAAAATTTGCTGAAATGGGACAGTTTTCAGAAGCTGTCAAAATAAAAATTGTCTCAAATTTGTACGAATACTCTCCATATTATTAAATGGACTTTTGGTGGCATAATTCAAAAAAATAGAATGAAATTTAAGGTGATAAATCATTTCTGTCCTCCAAGCATTGTAAAGCAAATGATGAGCAATTAGCAAATTTTAGTCGATTACTATTTGAGAAACACTTGAATGAGCAATTACTCAAGCTATCATTTATCGTTTGAGTGATTTCTCGAATTAGAATTTGAGCAATCGTCACTCAAATGAGTAACTATTCGAGATTGCTACTCGAGAGAGATGAAATGATCATAATCGAGATAATCAAGTTGTCCGAGCAATTTGCTCTAGTGCTTTCCTATTGCTAATAAAATCTCCGTTGACAGTTCCTGTTAAACTTCATATATTTAAAATGTTCGCCTCTACAACATCAATCTAATTTATTATAAATGTTATTTTTACGAATTAAAGTTTTTTACAGTTGTAAACTAAATGATGTTATTAGTAAAAGAATTAATAAACATTCTAATTTTCTAGGTTAATATATTAAGCAACGGAGAAGTTTGTATAGAATTTTTGAAGAATGCAAACCAACAAGAAAGAATTGTGGATGTGTGCAGAATATCCCAAGATGGTCTGAAGGTAAGATTTTAATGTAATATTGAAATTTCGTCTTAATTTTAATATTTGAAAATCTTTTGGTTAATTGAATTTGATTATTTACCTTTAGATAATACATTTTACATCATTTAGATTGTAATCTTTCAAATAAAATACTATTACTAACAGTACAAAACTTCACTTTTAACTAATATTTTATGCATCAAATGGATTTAAATTGTAATTATTAACTATAATTTTTTTTAAAATAATGAATAAATCAGAGAGAATAGAATTTGTGATCATCTGTTTCATTAAATGCATTCATGGGAGGCCGAGCAAAACTTTATATGCTCTTATGTGAAATACTCCGCCTAATCTCCTTCGAAATAACAACATACAGTGTTGCTGTATCATAATTAATAACATATGGACGAACCTTCGATAATGGCCACCTCTAAATGGCAACCATTTTTTGGGAATGTCAAAGAAAGAATGCATACAAAATAACCTCCAAATGATGGCCTTTTTTTGTGTTTTGTCGTTAGCCATTGTTTGGAGGTATGACTGTATACAGTTGAATGAAAGTCAGGACAGCATACTTTTAATGCACCTGTCTAGTATGCAAGAGTTGCAGATTTGTCTGTAACCAGATCGACCTTGTCTTCCAAAATTTTTTAACATATAGTGGAATCCCATTTATCTGCTCAACTGAGATGGGCCCTATTCAGTTAATCCAGAAAATTTGTTAATGGCACAAATAACACAATTTATATACATTTTATTTTATATTTCTAATTTCTTCTCCATGGTAACAGGTGCTTTCTTTTAGATGTCATTTTCACAGTGTTTATTTAACTTCACAAAAGATTGACGGTGAAACGATAGTAGTGGTGGCCGTCGAATGAAAAATATCTTGATGTTGTCGAAACCGTGTTGTATTTGCTTATTGTGTACAGGCACAATGAAGTGACGTTTTTCTCAACACTGGGCTAGTTGAATCTTTTATTTAGTTAGTTTCTCCCTCGGATTTTCAAGGGCCGACGGAAGTGCACCAGACACCGCAAGAGCCGCGGTGCTTTACGGATACAGCATCCCTATCTCCGGGCGAGCCGATTCCAGGGAGCCAAGTCTTCGGGGACCAGTGCGGTAACGCAAACGAACTCGGAGACGTCGGCGGAAGCCCCGGGAAGAGTTGTCTTTTCTTTGTAAGGACTCGGCTCCCTGGAATCGGCTCGCCCGGAGATAGGGATGCTGTATCCGGAAAGCACCGCGGCTCTTGCGGTGTCCGGTGCGCTTCCGTCGGCCCTTGAAAATCCGAGGGAGAAACTAACTAAATAAAAGATTCAACTAGCCCAGTGTTGAGAAAAACGTCACTTCATTGTGCCTGTACACAACAATGAAAAATATCTTGTGAGATCACAAATGATAAAAACTTATTAATTTAACATATCGACTACCGTGAGAAGTGCAACATTTTTATTTGACCGAAAAATAGCAATTTTTATAGTTGAAAATCTTAAAAGATTAGAAGATATTTGACAAGATATTAAGTAAATTCAAAAAATGCTCCTATGGAAAAACATCGTATGATGATTCATAAAAGGCAAGTCTGTTTTTGCACGCTCAATGTTACATTCAAATAAGAATGAACTTAGTTCTTTGACTTTTTTGCAGTATGTTTGGTTTTATATATAGGTACTGTACATCTGTTATGCTTCTGAGATGGGAATTATGTTTTATAATCTGGATAAATGGGATTCCATTGTATAACAAATTACTTTTGAAGACTGTATTTACTTTTTGCTTTGATGTATTTTTACTCACAAAAATTTCCAAATTATATTAGTATGATTTTTTTTCCCAATGATACAAGCAACAAAACAACTTTTCCAAACTTAATGTAAAATAAAATAACCAGATACAAGATTCCAGCCAATTATAATTTTGATGAGAGAAACATGATATTGCATTTTGCAATCATTTACTTTTATAAGGTTAAATGATGTACTCTTCATTACATTTTGATTTTATTTTGCATAGATTAAATACTTGCACATAGATTAAGAATGTAAAAGCAAAACAAATGTAGAGAGAGAGGGTGCAGTTCAAAGTTTCATTTTTCTTGTGTACAGATACATGTATGGGTATCTTCATCATGAAAGCAGTATTAGCATTGAAATATATATATTTTAAAATTTAATATTTATGATTTAATTAAGTGTTTGTATTAATTAGATCACCGTGTACAAGCCAGACGGAAAACATTCGCCTTCTCTGACGGATCGCTCCTTGTCGGTTTCAAAACAGAAAGTCTACTCTTACGAAAATTTGCCAAGACAGTACTGGAAAAAGTATCTGTATGCGGCAAGATTTGTTAAATTGGTAAGAGCCAAGACGCCTAAAATAACATATTACAGCGAACGAGCTAAGTTCATGTTAATGGAAAATGCTCCTGATGCAGATTTCGAAGGCTCTTTCATGCTTGGTATGGATTTTGTTTAATATCGCATTTCCGAAAATTTGTTTTGTTTAATTACAGTAAATATTATAGGTGGAAAAATTACAAAACATGGCGATCTGACAACCGTCATTGACACCGACGGAATTGTTTACAATATTCATTCCGAAGAAGAAGCAATGAGTTTCAAACCTAAAATACAAAGTATGTGGGAGCATTTCAATCAAGTAAGATACTTTTATATTTTTTTTTTCTACACAGCTGTTGCTTAATTAACATCACAGTTAGGAACCAAAATCCTCAAAAAGGATTTTGGTCCGTATTTATTCCTATGACCAACAAAAGTTTCAGTTGATGTACTTCTGTGTTGCATGAAAGTTGCATGACACAAAATTGCATTGACTGGCAGTGCTAATTAATTAATAGTGCACTTTAACTGTTCAATAATTGAGAAATTGATAAATAAGGTCTCTTTTTTTTGTAAAATTAATTCGTAAAGAAGTAGACTAATGTGATTAGTTTTAAAAGGTCATAAAACTTGTTTATTTTAATTATAAACAATCACCATTTAGAGTGAGACATTTTTGTAAATATTCTATCTAATTTTGTGTTCTGTGCAAAAAAGCTTTGTTGTTTTTCTTCAACCTGATTCCCCCATGAACTTTGGCATTGAAGATAATGTCAAGTGTGTCGATCTTTTGATGTCGCATTTAATTTAGGAAATGATCAGAAGTTGACGGTGCCTTTTCTGGGCCATAAGAAGGATCAAAATAACCTATTGTTTTGGGTTTTTTCCTTATTACAATGCAAGAAAAAGATTGTTGTTTCTGGTATACTCTGATTATCTCAAAGAATTTTGATTTTATAGAAGTTTTGACAGATCTAAAACCTTCCAATGCTAAAAATTCAATAACTGATTACTGCTTTATATGGCATGAGGAAGACAACTTTATATTTAAAGTTGTCTTCCTCATTGCTCATGACTTAGCACGTACAAACCCATAGCTATTGAATAGTTACAATCACATATTTCTATTTGAAATTTTGTACAGAACTACCATAGGCTAGAATGTAAATTTTTAATTTCTCATTTTTTAGTGTCATCAGTACTGTAGAGATCTCGAGGCCACGCTTCAAGCACTGGAAGACTTAAAGGGCTTCTCCTGTTTTCCCATAATTGTCGGAAGGTACGTACTATATTTCTATAAATCAATATTTATTTTTTTAATTTTGGGAAAAATAATCAGAGTTTACAATTTGGATAAGTGTTTGGAAAATTGTCAGGTTTCTATCCCAAATACATGAATACTTTATGTACACTGTACAATGATAAGAAATAATCAATGCTTTATAATTATGACAGTGAAATTAGTTTAATACCAGAAACAATAAAAAATATTTTTGAAGGGATTGACAGATATGTGTGAGGGATGCATTTAAAATAAGAATCATTTGCACATAACATATATATACATATATATATATATATATATATATATATGTTACTGTGAAAGACTGAAATTAGAGAATGTCGATATTCTCCGGTGAATATTGACACATACAAAATACATCAGTGAAAGTCCGAATATTTGGTTATATTATTATACATTCGAACAATTGCCAGTGTATGTTGACAAGCACAGATAAGCTTTGGTGGAGGTCGAAACGACATCCGAGAAGCCGATGTTGACAGAGAGGCGACAGTCTGTCACCAAAACCTTTGTGGGTAGTTCTGGACTTCCATATGCCATGAACACTCTTTCTCAAGTCTATAGAGAAGCATGTAAATTACTAATCCTGCCAATTGCGAGTTGTATTCGGCAATATATTTTTGCATGCAAAGAAATTTGACTTGCCGAAATCTCATTTTGTTTATTGAGGCATATGGGAAAGGTAATAACAAATGAAGTAAATGCACGTGAGTGGTATCGACTGTTCAAGAAAGGGAGAAAAACATTCTATGACAAACTTTTTGAAGTGCTTGTCTGGCATCATCGACAAGTTAAAAACTTGTGAAAGACTTTGTAACATTTTAATTTACAAAAAATTTCCAAGAATAATAATAAATGAGTCAAACTGATGTTGATGTACACATTCAAAAATGGGTACTTATTAAGTTCATTCATAGGAAAGACATTTCATATTGTTTCTCAGTTCATCCATTACAAAATTATCACCATTCACCTTCACTAACAAAGATTTATGCAAGATGGGTTCTGGGAATGCTCGAACCAAAATACGAGCAGAAACGAATGCCGTCTCTTGGATATTTTTGGAGCACTATATAGAGAAGAGGATGAATTTTTGGCTCAGTTAGTGACAGAAGATGAGATGTAGCTCTCCCATTATATACCTGAAAACAACCAGACATCTTAAAGCATCGTGCATATTCTCTGACAAAACCTAAAAAAATTGGGACCAGAAAGATATTCTTTTGATTGATTTTCTGCTTCGAGCAGAAACGAATTAATGCCGACGGGTATTCAAAATATCGAAAGAACTATGACATGTTATCTGAAACTGTCAGTGGGGTCCATTCAATAAAGGAGTGTCTCTGCTTCACAACAATGCATTTCACACATTGCTAGAAAAACACAAACGTTAATGCAAAAGTTTAGATGGGAAATTATTAACCATTCTCTCTAAAGTCCCTCACCAATATTTATTTTGAAATGGGCACCAAATCGAGTGTGGTGCTAAATTGAAGTGCATTAAACTGGAAGACTTGTGGATAATTACAAGGTGGATGCATGAGCTTGAGTCAAGAGTTTATTGTTATTGTCAAATTGCATTATGTTCAATGTCATTTCCAATGAAAAAGCATGCATTTAGTAATTTGTTGGAGGGTTCTCTTTTTACTATTTATGATTACAGTCGACCCCCCTATAACGTACGTTCCTATAACGACAATTCCTATAACGTAGCGAAAAAATTGTAGCAACTTTCGTATAACGTACCTCCTATAACGTCATTTCGCGAGAAGATTGATAGAGTCTGGACCAATAGTGGATGAGCAGCCGAACTACTTACCTCCGACCCTGCGCCACNGTACGCTCACGCAGGTACAGTAGGGGTGGTGGCGGGACCTTTGGGACGGGATGTCCCTATCTACTCCTCCTCGAACGTGGTTCGACACTTTTGTGCCGGCCATAACTCGGACGTACCTGCCTTGACGTGGCGAGGGGGCTTAGTACCCGAGTGCAGCAATGTGCTAAGCACGGGGGAAGCCAAAGGTACGACGGGGAACCCTGTGGCGGAGTGATTCAAGATGTTTCCTGACTTATTGGTGAGCTAACTTGGGACTTTGAGGACAGAAGGCTGGTCCCGAGGGTACAGGTCAAAAACTGGGGTTGGCACACCTGGGGCGATAGGTAGTTAGGGGCCCGGCGAGGCCTAGCCAGCATTCGTTGGCCGCCCTGATCAACTATTGTATAATCTTGAGCCAGGTCATAATGCCGATTGGCGACCGGGGCAGGACCATGTGGCCTGGTTTGGGGACCTTTCCCGAGGCCACGTGGTCAGCTTTAGGCCCTCAAGTTGTCCTGGGGGCAGGGGTGGCGGCTTGGTGGGGCCCTCAGTTTTACTGTGGGCTCCCTCGGGCCGTTGCCCCTCTCCCTGGGACGACGAGTAACGGTTGGTTTTGGCTAATAAAGTAAGGATAAATTGTTTTGTTCCTAAATTGTTTAATAATTAATGGGTGGGTAAGTTTTTCTTAACGGGTGGAAAAGTCAGGAGATGTGTTGGATTGTTTTGCCTTGGAAATATGAAGTAGCAAATACCCTAAAAAGCCTAAGGGCTTTATGCACCGTAAGGTGTAAATGGTAGCAAATACGTTCAGTCTACGGACTATAAAATGTTTTACATGTGCTTGGTTAGTCTACGGACTTTAAATGTTATCATGTGCTTGGAATGTTAGGGTGTTAGGAAGATAGGATAAGATATGTAGTGATTGGGATAGTTAATTGTCCTTAATTTACACGGGAAGTACCCTCTTGAAATGGCTTGTGGCATGAGGGTTGAACATTAGTACATTCACTAGTTAGGCACTGGCAAATGCTGGTAGTCGTTTGGACGTGTCGTGGTGGAAGCCTCGTCGTCCTAAATCTCTGGTCAGGAGATGTTATGATAAAAATTAATTAGCTTCCCTTGGTTATGAAGAGTCCCATATAGGGATTAGTGAATAGGAACACCCTATTTTAATTGAGGTTATAATTAGGTAATAATATTATTAGAGTGTATTTGGTTAGGCGAGACAGGGTCTTCTTTTAGGCTGATGGTTTCGTTGTATTCCCACTGGGTTGGGGGTGGGTTGGGTCTCTTGCGGGGGTCCCTGATTTTTTCAGGGTCTCTTGCGGGGGATCCTTCCCCTCCCCTTCTTGGTGGTGTTTATTTTGATAGTGGATAGAGTCTTCTAGTTGGGTCGGGGACGGGGTCGCCCGTGTCGGGGCCTTCTTCGGGAAACCGGTGAGGGTCCTGGCGCGGGCGGCCCCGCCTCCGGTCAGGTTAGGTGGAGTATTTAATATGAATAATAGGTTTGAAGGGTCTATGTTTATGTGTAAATTTTGTTAAATAGTCTCATATGGAGGGGGATGGATTGGGCCCCATCCCCTTTCATGTGAGTTAGGTTTATATAGTTTTTATTGACTTTTCATAGTATATAAATAATTTTGCTTTCTAGGGGTGGGTATCTTGTAGCCAGGAACAATTGCATAAGTAATAGGTTGCTTTTAATTTCATAAAGAGGTTATTAAAGTTAAATTGTATTAATCATTCCGTTCTCAGGGTTAGGGGGGTTTGGGGTAAATTTCTAATTAAATTAAATGGAAAGTAAAAAATTAAAGAAAAGTTTACAAGTGCCGGAGGGAAGGGGGGAGGTTCCTGGCTCCCAGATACCTATTCGTAGGTATAGTAAGAGTGAGACGTCATTAAGAGAGGTAAGCTCTACTAGTATTAGTACCTTGGACCACTTGCAGAGTGTAGAAAGAGCTTCAGCTGAATTGCAAAAATTATGTGCAGATAAGAAGATTACGGTTAATTTGACCCAAAAATTAGTGGAACTCTTTAGTGAAGTTACGAATGTGGTACATACTCTAGTAATAGAAAATGAGCAATTAAAAGGCAGAATAGAAACGTTAGAATCTGTGAGGTCTAAACCTGTAGTAGCAAAGTCTTATTCGGAAATAGCAAGTAGGATTAATGTTCGACAGCCTATGCAGGAAGAAGATAAAGTAGTAATAGTGAAAGGATTAGCAACAGAAAGTGTTGATATTATAAAGAAAAAATTTTTGTCTTCTATAGATCCTGTACAAGAAAGAATTAGGTTGAAAAGTGTACGAAAGACACGTAACAATTCTTTGTTGGTTGCTTTAGCAACGAATAGTGATAGGAATAGAGTTTGTGCAAGTGAGAAATTAAAACAGGCTGGTTTGGATGTTAGAGTTCCTAAGAAGCGAAAACCGCGGCTGATACTTATAGATGTTCCTAAGATACTGGAATCTGATGACTTAGTCTCTTTAATATATGATTTAAATAGAGATCTTTTTTATCAATTAGATTCAGATTTAGATATGTTTAAGTCAGAATTTAAATTATTATATAAAGTAGGAAAAAAGCGAGAGACATTGGTTAATTGGGTTGTAGAGGTATCTCCGGAATTGCGAAGGAAGTTACTTTTATTAGGTAGGTTGTATATAGAATATAGGAGCTGTATTGTTAAAGATTATAATGAGGTATTAAAGTGCTATAAGTGTCAGTTATTTGGGCATTTTGCTAGATTCTGTCGTCAAGAAAAAGAAGTTTGTTTTAAATGTGCTGAGGTAGGACATAGAGCAAGGGATTGTGTATCAGTGGAGACAGTAGTGGCTTGTGTTCCTTGTAAAAAGATGGGTAGGCCCTTTAAGCATGCATCCAGGAGTAGGGAATGTGTTTCTTATAAGCAGGCGTTGATGCGGTATCAACAAACGGTAGACTATGGGTAGTTTTCTTCAAGATAATAATTTTAGAATTGTTCAATTAAATATGGAGAGGATGAGGGTGGTTCCGGCGGAGTTGCGGAATTATATGGATAAATTCAGGGTCGATGTGATGCTGTTGCAGGAACCTTATGTGGTAAAAGATAAAGTGGTAGGATTTGGTTTTAATTATATTGTTGTTCAGGGCTTGGTTGACAAGCCCTTGACAGCAATTGTTGTTTGTAATCGTATGTGGAATATTTTAATTATTGATGAACTTTCCTCAGCTACCTGTGTGGTTGCACAGGTTTTTTGTGAGGGAAAAAGTTTTTATATATGTAGTTTATATTTTCCGCCTAGTATTTTAATTGATAATTCTATATTGG